GCAGGAATTAGAGCGTTTGCCTACTGTATCCTGTCTTCTCGGGATCCCTCTATAGTCAATGGAGAGAAAGAGTAGGAAACTCTTCCACAAAATGCTTGAGCACACCTACAGATAACATCTTGCCCTAAGCAATCCTGTAGGGCAACCCATAATTTAAATTCAAAATTTAAAAATAAAAATAAAAAAATCAGCTTTTTGTCTGTCAAAGGAAGCTAAGAAAGACATTTCAATGTTCTACAATTTTGTTTTGGGGATGCCCTTAGTCCTCGGACAAATGAGGAAGGGACTGCCGAAAAAAAAGTCTTTAACAGTTACTGTGCTTTAACTCACACACCATTTTGAAAACACAGCTGAAATGAAAGATAATTTTGAACCACCTTATCCTCTCATATCAATGAGTTTAGGCATTTTCTGATTTGCTTTGCTATGAAAGAACTCTAAAGACAGCAAGATGTGTCTTTTCTCAGAGTTTGCACAGCAGCACTGAAATACTGGGCACTGTGGACCTCAGACTATGAAAGCAACAGTGATAGTAGCAATACACCCTGGCTCCTTGCTGCTGTTCATATGTAAATATTCAGCCATTTACCACCTTAAGGTAGAATCCTGCTTAGAAATCTGAAATTAGCTTCTAAAGGAAATAACTTGTTGAACATATCTCCTCCCACACTCTGTGCCCACTTCTCCAACAGTACCAGGAATGATTATTGAGTAAACATATTTAAATTTGGATCAGGGCCTTGGTAAGAAAATTAAATATATATGTACATATACACACACACACACACTTTAGAATGAAAGGCATAAAATTATCTGTTTGAGAAATTTCATGCCTTTGGCAGATTAAATAATACCATTATCATATCTCATCAGTCTAAGATTTAAGCCATGACTTTTTTAAGGTCATGTGCATTGTAAAAACGTGCCAGAGAAGTTAATAAACTTGGACTTTGTGCTGGCTGAAAATCCACTCCATATTCCAAGCTTTTTTCTGGAAGAGGATAGATTTCCTTATCTTGAAATGCATCTCTGCTAGCCTTTTACCTTAGCCCAGTAGATCCTAGCCTTGTCCATAGCACAAGTTGCATCTTGTCCCAGGGGTTCAAGGTAGATAACATCTGATGTTACTTATTTTAGAGCAAGTGTTTCTTCCTTCCCAACTCTCAGGAAACTAGTTCTGTTCTTAAGGCAACAAAATTGCTATATGCCTCTGGGTAAAAATGTGCCTACTGACAAAAAGACACTCCACTTGGCTTCTTACAAGCTCAACATCTTTCTTCTAGTGCATATCCACGCCATTTCATCTGCCAAGGTACTCACAGGCAGAGCAAGCACAGTCTGAAAACCCGACGTGCAGGTTTGCAGTTTTGCAAAACATCTTTTAAAACGCCGAATTTGAGCAGAGGCGCAGCATTTCTTCTGGGTTTTAATGGAGTTAGGGATTAACCTTTCCCTGTCTCTCTCCTTGTTGTTTTTGTTTCTAGTTACAGTGGTGCTGTTTGCAGCACTGAGACGGCAGCGGAAAAAAGAGCCTTTGATTATTTCCAAAGAAGACATCAGAGACAACATTGTCAGTTATAATGATGAAGGTGGTGGAGAGGAAGACACCCAGGCGTTTGATATCGGCACACTGAGGAATCCTGAAGCCATAGACGATAATAAATTACGCAGAGATATCGTGCCGGAAACACTTTTTATGCCACGGCGGACTGCAACAGCGCGAGATAACACGGATGTCAGAGATTTCATTAACCAAAGGTTAAAGGAAAACGATACAGATCCAACGGCACCCCCCTATGACTCGTTAGCAACCTACGCGTACGAAGGTAATGGTTCCGTGGCTGAGTCCCTCAGCTCCTTGGAGTCGGTGACTACGGACGGAGATCAGGACTACGATTACCTCAGTGACTGGGGGCCTCGGTTTAAAAAGCTGGCAGATATGTATGGCACTATGGACAGTGACAAAGACTCTTAATATGTTGCCTTTTTTTTGGTTCATTTTTGTTTCCCTTCCTCATTTTCAGAAACAGCATTGGGATATGTGAAGTGGCTATTTCTTTCTATTTCTCCACAGCTGTGTGAAAGGGTTCTCTGTTTTACCCCTTCTAATTGTCTAATGACTGCAGTCTGTGTGGATCAGCTGTCAGAAAACTTTTTCTAGTATCATTTTATGAGCTTCCAAGAGGCAAAATTCTTATTTTTTAGTGCATCCAGTTTACCAAGCCAATCTTACAGGCACGGCAGTAGTGGAGGGGAAAAAAAAAAAGGATGAGATGGGGAGCAATATTTTTACTTGTTCTGCTTATACTGTAAATTGGAGTATATTACTGTTTAAGCTCACTTGCTCTTTTTACTTGTATTCAGACTATTCAGCTCAGACGATTGCTCTGTTGATTGTGTATCGCACATCCCAATGTAATGAGGTACCCTAGTTTACCCTATGTATTATAGTCAAAAGTAGTGGTGGTGGAATGAAGGTTTATTATACGACTAAGCTGAGAAAAAACATCAAACATGCATTTTACTCATGAGGAGGGTAGAAAGGCCTAATGTCATTTAAACCTAAGTATTTTTCTAGAACTCACCATTGCCCCCAATGCACTGAATCATACTAACACACACATATATATAGTTCATTGACTGCTATGTATATATTCTTCTGACCTAGCATCGCTGGAGAGATGTGTGTGCGTGCATGTGTGTGTGGTCAGTAGCCCCAATATCTAATTCTTAGATGGTTTCCCAGTTCTAACCCAGACTTGCCTTGTAATATGGGGAAAATCATCTAACCCAACTCCAGATTAGATCATTAGATCATGGAAATCATAACCATGCTATGGTCGGCCTCCACCTGCTCATCAGTTCAGTGATGGCCGCTGCGCTGGGGAGGTGGGAGTCGGGCTTTTCACGTCCATCTAATTCTGCCTGTTCTCATGGGCGGGAGGGGAGTAGTAGCCTCAAGGTGACTGCCGCCCATTAGAGCAAAAGTAGCCACTGTTTTTTTAAGGAGTGGTTTTTTAACCCTGACCTTCCCTGCCTGGATGCCCAGGGTGGCTTCCTGACTGACTCGCTGGCCAGTTTTGCTATCTGTAAAGTGCGGAAATAACGCCTACCTCATCAGGATGTTGCAAGTATTATTTAAGTCATTTAGAAAATGCTTTAGAGATGGAAAATGCTGGCATTCTGCCAGAGGAAGTAATTTCTCGTGCTTTTGGATGGTTCGGTTGTTTGGTTTTTTTCCCCCAATTCAAGCCCTGAATGCACAAGTAAGCAAGAATCAATTGTCATTCCAGTGGCCTGAAAAGTAGGGTTTATAACTATAACTCTTTTTTTTTTTTTTTTTTTTAAATAAACTACTCAGCCAGGGTTGTTAAAGACTTCACCAAAAGGTAAAATTTTAATGACAAGGCGTGTGCTTATCTGCTTTGCCAAACTAAGTAATTTTTGTCCAGAAGTGGGGGAAGATGCCATAGTCTCAGGCCAAAACAATTTTCTTTACAGCTTGCACACCACTCAATATGTCTGTTGGTTTGTCAAACACATGCAGTTCCTGCTCCTTAAATCAAGCCATCTAGGAGAGGCTATCTGGAAAAAACCCTGAAGGGGCTGCCATGGGACACATCCCATTACAGGAGCAAAAAGCCACCCTGCATCCCAAAGTAGGGACAGAACCCATGGCACTGTGCCAAGGAAAGATGGAATTTATTTTTTTTTAAATATACCTCATACATTACTAATCTCATTTATTTCATTTTGAAACAGTATTTAATACCAGAATTACAGGCATGAATCTATTTTCCCCCTCCCCCGAATCCTAAGTGAATCAGTCTGAAAGCTAAACAGCAGCTCCAATTTACTCTAAAAATAGAGAGAGAAGGGAAAAAAAGTTAATAAACAGAAAATTAAAAGGGATTAAAAATTAATCCCTGGAATTCATCACTCCTAGAGACTAAATAAAGAGAGCAGTAAGATTCCTGAGTATTGGACTTTTACAAGCATGATGACATAATTTCGGGTGCGAACCACCTCACAGTGAAGAGGACAAGCTGGCCACACTGCGGTGCCTGGCTGGGACTGGGAAGAAAACCTTTGCACAGTTACAGGTTTAGGGCAAGGTGGCTCATGGCTTTCAGATGCCTGGCATGGTAGATCAGATGGTTTGTCAGAGTAGAGGAACCCAGAGTTCCAAAGGGAGCTGAGCTCTGGTCTCCCCGATGGAAGCTTCTCACGGTGCTTCAGTCCAGTAGAGCGAGGCACCCGACTCCATCGCTGAGCCTGTCGTGCCCATCACAACGGCAATGGCATGACTAGACCCTTATTATGTTCTCCGGAGGGCCTCTTCAGTAATTCAAGATGACAAAAGCCTTTGAAAGTCTAGCCCTTCATGGCTTCCTTGAAATCAGAGCATTCAGGAGGCAACCTGTCCAAAACCTGGCTCTGGCACACAGGAGGGACTATCTGGGTTTCAGATCCGTGGAGGAGCAGCAGATGCTCAGCACCAACTGCCACAGGTCCCTCACTTGGGGCTGCTCTCCTCGTATGGTCAGTGGAGGCAGCGTACCCCTCAGCGGGCTCCCCCAAATGGCTCCCTAACACCCACCTGCGTCTCACCCTTCACTGCATGGAGCTGCCTCCAGCAAATCTCCTCAAGCTCAGAGTCCAGCTGGATGCCCAGAGGGAGCCAGTGAACTGTCCCTTCCCCTCCTCAGACCCTGAGAAAACACGTTTGTGTGTGGAGGGGACGGCAGAGGCGGCTGTGGAACCGCACACGCGTTTGGCCCTGCAAGCCACCACAGCTCACAGGGAAGAGAGAGTCGCCGTCGCTGGACTGAAGACAGACCTTGCACCCTGAAAAGGCCGGGCCACCCTGCAGGTCACCTTGCCTCAGTCACTCGTTGGGGTGGAGAAACAAGACAGGGTCACTCATCTCCTTGTAACTACTTTCCTATGTTTGTACAGAGATTTTGTCCGATTTAGTGATTGTTAGTAGCAGTCCAAGCGCAAGATTTGAGGTTTGGTTTTGAGGGTTTTTTTTCCCCGCTCTTTTTTCTTTTAATTGAAAGCTGGTTTTATCTTGTATATTGAGTGACACAGTAAATAATAGAGAGTGGCTACTCATGCCTGTTGTGTAAATATATCATATATAAAATTATATTATGTCACCACAAATATGGTGCCTGAATAGCAAATGGATTCTTCTAAGAAAATTCAAGGTAAACTTGCATCCAAATTATTATTTATGCATCTAGGTTTTAAGGTGTATTTTTTCCTGCAAATTAGACAGATTTAGCATCTCTCACACAGCAAGAAGTGTTTAATTCTGTCTTTTCTTCTTGCTTGGCAGTACCACAAAGTGCAATTTATAAAATCAGTACTGCATATTAAATATTGAAAGTGCCATATTGTAGTGAATACAAAACTTTGCAGTAGTATTTCTTTGCACTTTGTTGCATGCCAGCATGCTAGATGATGGAAACGAGTATTTAACAATGCTTTCACACAATGCTAGAATTCTCATTTATAGATAAACAAGTGTTAGACTATGGGCTATGAAGTGGGTTTCAAGGCTGTTTTAAGCCTGGTTTTCTTACACACTTGTTTGAGAAGAAATATTATTAGGAAGTTTAGCTAAGGAAGGTAGAGACATGAGCAATGAAGTTGACTTTTAATTTGGAAAAGCATCTGATCTAACAACAGGGAACCTATTAAAAGATACCAAGGAATTCAGTGGAGTTAACATGAAATGGGCATGTTTACATGGCAGACTGTTCCAGCCTTGCTGCTGCAGAACAATAACATCTCTACACTTGAAATGGAATAAGGTTTCTTGTATAGCTATATCATCCCAGATGCCAAAACAGTCACTTTATTCCAGATTTTTATTTTTTTTTTCCACTTCCCTCCAGAAGAATGATTACTTCAGGTTAAAAGCAATTCTATCCCAGAGCAGCACCAGTACGGGGGACACGACAGCACGTGCCTGCAATGCAGCTGTGCCAGGACACCTCTCTGCATAGACAAGCGCTTGGAAGAGAGCTGAAGCAGAAACTTGCAGCGAGCTCTGAACAAGGGAATTTGGGATTTCCACAGGGCTCTACTGACAGTACCACAGGACTGGGATGCATTCCCAATCCTGACATAGACGGAGATGCATCTGACCATGAGAAAAACAAGTTGTCTGTTTTTTTCAGTTATTGGTGGTAAAAAAATTGCTAGGAAAGATGGGGTAAAAGAACACTACTCCACTTGTACCGACACCAATATTTTCTAAATTTGTCCTAAGATATATTTTTCCCACTTTTTTATTTTGTTAGTTTTCAGGTCTTACTTTATTCTATAGACACGTATTTCCTAGCTGTTAAATATGAATGGGAGAGGCAACTTTCAAATGATCCAATTTTAGAAGTGTCAGGCTACATTACAAGGCACAACATTTCCATTTCTCTGTCACAAAACAAACAATCCCACAAAAAAACAACTAACTCAATATCTGTAGCACCACAAAAAGCAGAACAGTCATAAAGAAGTAGAGCAGGGAGAAATGGCTTTGGGAATGCACGTCTGCACATGTACAGTATGAATAAAAAGAAGGGAAATAATGAACATTGGAAGCTGGCCTTGTTCCAAAAGCAGATTTATCCATGTTGTGACTGTGCACTGTTGGCCCTGCTCTTTTAACACTTCCAGGTTTCCTACAGTAGCCAGAGGGAGATTTGCATGGATAGGAAGAGATATCTTCTTTTTCAGACCAAGCAAATTAAATTCAGGCCATTTCTACACAGATCTCTAGGAAAGAAAGTCCCTTTGTCGTGATTATTAGTGAAACATGTTATACTTCTGCAGCAGATCTATCTTGACGGCATTCTGCAGGGTGAATCACAGACAGTTATTCTGAGCAGGTAGCTCTTTGCGACCACCACCGTGTTAGCTCTTCCTGCCACCATCTGTTCTAAACCTCTCCACGTTTCCTTTGGCTATAGGGAGCATGAAGCGTTTCAGAAGACCGTCCCAAGTGGATGCTGCCATCACCTGCCTATTTGTGTTTCAATTAACACTGCAGTCCAAGCTCCCTTGTCAAATGAGAGCTGACAAATTAACAGTCATTACACTACTTCCAATGAGTATGAACTATGTTGTGAGTTGTGACAGGCAGGGTTTTCTTTCAACCCCTCTAGACCTCTGAAACAGCGGCCTCCTCCAATAATTGTTAAAGCCACAAAGTCTTCTATTTTCAATTTAGTCTTCAGAAAGACTTGTTTTCTTAGAGATTGTTTCTGTACTTAAAGAAGAGGAACAAAAGCATATTTAACATCTACAGCCTATTTAACATCTACAGCATTGCTCCAGAAGGAGGGGAAAATCCACAGCAGCCAGCGCAGTGTTTTAATGCCACTCTCTCCCCTCAGTAGTTTTATTTTGTCATAGCTAAAACAGTCTTGATCCTGCCCATCATTTTGCAATATTATACTTTTCAGACCAGACCCACATTTGTCACACACTAAACACTTTCCTGAACAGATCATAAAATTGAGCGG